GCCCAGTCTGCGGCAACCAGTTCGTGGAGCGTGGAGAGCAGTGCGACTGTGGCACACCGGAGGTAGGGATGCTCCCAAGAGAGCAAGGAGGATGTGTGGCAGGGATCTGAGGCCTGGCCATCAGAGTCTTTCCCAGAAGAGGTTTACTCTTGCTTGGCAAGACTCATCTTCCTTGTGTTGTGATGCTACTTGGGGAGGATATTCATAGAATCATAGAATTTTAGGAGTGGGAATGGAGCTCAGAGATCATCCAGTGCCAACCCCTGCCCTGGGCTGGGACACCTCCCACCAGAACAGGTTGCTCAAGGCTTTAGCCAACCTGGCTTTGAACACTGCCAGGGTTGGGGCAGCCACAGCCTCCCTGGGCAACCTGTGCCAGTGTCTCACCACCCTCACAGGGAAAACTTCGTCCTGACATCTAATCTCAATTTCCCTCTTTCAATTTGAATCTGCTACCCCTTGTCCTGTCACTGCAGTTCCTAACACAGAGTCCCGCTCCAGCTTCCCTGTAGCCCCTTCAGATCCTGGAAGGCTGCTATGAGGTCTCAGTATTCATTATTAAGCAGGATGTGATTTTAGCCTAGAAAGATGGACATCCCCCCACATGTCCTCCAGAGAGGTGCCCAAGGAGGGGACATCATGGCATGTTGTCCTTCTAAGAGCTGCACTCAGCTGTTCCTCATCCCTAGCAGCTGAGACAAACAGCCTCTGGGATAGATCCCTGGGCACAGCCCTGTGCTGGGACCTGAAGGAATGCTCCCCCCATGCAGGGAGCCCAGAGATCCTTCTGCTTTCTCCTTCCTAGAGATGTGAAAAAAGGCCCAGGTCAGCCTGCATCTTCTGAAAAATCCTTTCTGGTCCTCTGCTTTGGTGTTGGTGATGGGGGTAAAGCAGCAGAAATTGTCCCTACCTGGGGTGATGCTGTGGTTTTGCCCCATGGTTCAGCCTGTGGTGGCTATGCTGTCATTGGCACCTGGTGACATGGTGTCTCCAGAAAGGAAGGAAAGGGTCCTTCAGGGCTCTTCCAGGAGGGTTCCAGTCTGTCCCCGTCTTGCAGGAGTGCTCAGATCGCTGCTGCAATGCCACCACGTGCCAGCTGAGAGAGGGAGCCGAGTGTGCTCGGGGGGAATGCTGCCAGGACTGCAAGGTACTGCCACCCATGGGAGACCAGCTCGGCAGGGCAGGGAGCTGGGGGGTGCACAGTCCTGCCCTGGGTTCCTGTGGTGCTTCTGGTACAGACAAGGTGTGTCCATAGTCCACCGGAGAGCCTGAAGGACCTTGGTGGCAGCATGTCCAGAGCCAGGAACACTCAATGGATTGGGAGGGTTAGGGTGGGAAGTGGTTGGGAAGGTGGAGCAGCCCCTGTTCCTGGCACCCTGAGGCCAAGATGCCCTATTGGGTCACAGGCAGAATGAAGGGTGTTGAAGGACTGGGCAATGATCAGAGATCAGCATGGCTCATTCCTGACTTGGGAAACCAACCAGCCTTGTCCGCTCCATTCATCCAAGGCAAAGTTGAGCTCTATGTAGTAGTTCCTGCATCCAGGCAGGGTAAGAAATGCCTTGATGTGAAGAGATGGGGCTGGAAGAGGACCCTGGGGCAAGTCCAGGCTAAAAGCAAAGGAGAGACTTAACTATGGGAAGAGCTGGTCCAAGCCCTGGGGGTGCCTCTGTCCTGTGCGGTGGCTTGGTCAGTAGCAAATGGCTTTGTGTTAGTGTCTGGGAGATGTTTCCCAGACGAAGATGCTGCTGGGATGTAGTTCTGGAGATGTGAGAGCATCCAGGCAGTGCTGACATCCCCTTCTCCATGCAGGTGAAGGCTGCTGGAGTGCTCTGCAGGGCCAGCAAGAATGACTGCGACCTGCCTGAGCACTGCAGCGGGCTCAGCGCCGAGTGTCCCGAGGATGTGTTCCAGGAGAACGGCATCTCCTGCCACAATGGCAACGGATACTGCTACAACGGGGCCTGCCCCTCCCACGGCGAGCAGTGCCGAGCGCTCTGGGGTGCAGGTAGTGCCTCCACATCCTGGCCATCCTCCTCACCTACGTGCTGGGGGTGTGTCTGGAGCCCCTCAGACCACCTGGCTGTGGTCTCCTGCATCCCATGGGGAGCTGGGGCTGCTGATCCTAAAGCATGGCCACTGGTGGTGGCTCTGGCTCTGTGTGACCCTTTCCATGTGTCCCACAGAGGCCCAGGTGGCTCCTGATGTCTGCTTTAAGCACAACAGTGAGCAGCACCTTCACCTCCACTGCCTCACCGAGTACGGGAAGCGACCCTGCAGCCCCAAGTAAGGAAGGAGCAGGGGTGAGGGGGACTTGTATTGGTCTAGTCAAGCTCCCCCTCATACTCACAGCTGCACCTCCTGCAGGGATGTGAAGTGTGGCACACTGCTGTGCCTGAGTGACAACACCAGACCCATCCTTGGCAGTGGCTACTACTCCTTTGGCCGCTTCAACTGCAAGGCAGTGATCGCCGGCAGCGACCCCAGCGAGGTGGCTGCCAAGCTCAGGCTGGTGCCCACTGGGGCCAAGTGTGGGGAGGAGATGGTGAGTGAGCTGGCCATGGTGCTGGGGTGGCAGGGAGGTGGGAGACCACTGGACCAGGGCAGCCTCAGAGCCCTCTGACTTCGCCCAGGTCTGCTACGCTGGGCGCTGCCAGAACCTCCTGGTCTATGGTGACAAGAACTGCTCGGCCAAGTGCAACAACCATGGGGTAAGCTGTGGCATCACCCTTCCCAGGGCTGCTGTGGGCCTGGACAGTGTTCCTGGACCCTCCAGCTTGTCCTGGTGCAAAGCATCCCTGATGTTCTCCTCCTTCATCCCAGGTGTGCAATCACAGGCGGGAATGTCACTGCGACCCAGGCTGGGCAGCACCCTACTGTGAGCAGGAGATTGCAGGGATAGTCACAGGTATGAGCCCGTTGTTGGCTCCCTCAGACCAGAGTGTCCTGGAGAGGGAGCCTGGGGACGGGGCTGGCACCTGTAGGTTGCTTCTCCATCCCCATGGGGTGTCCCAACACCAACCACGTGGGTGTCTACAGGGAGCCTGGGGAGGGAGTTGGGACTGGTAGGTCACTGCTCCATCCCCGTGGGGGATGCCAACCACCCGGGTCTCCGGAGGGAACCTGGGGAGGGAATTGGCACCTGTAGGTTGCTCCTCCATCAGCATGAGGAGATCAACCCCTTGGGTCTCCGGAGGGAGCCTGGGGAGGGAGCTGGCACCTGTATGTTGCTGCTCCCTGCCCGGGGGGTATCCCACCAAGCTCCTGTTCCCCGCAGGGAGCAGCAGCGTGGTGCTGGCAGCCGTGCTGGCCGTGCTGGCCCTGGCTGCCACCCTGCTGGGCAGCAGCGTGCTGCTCCTCCGAGCCCGGGCGACACGGC